AGACCCTCATGCCCTGACGAGCATTCAAGGCGATCCGCAAAGGGGGTTTTCAGTTGCCTTCATTTGCTTACGCAAGTGTTTTAACCCAACGAATCAAAGAGCACTTCCTCTTTTCATGTCCCTTTTGAAGTGCCCAGCCCGATTCCTTGGGCACGCTTACGACTCCAGGACCACCAGCCAAGGATCAAGGGACTGATACCCGCTGAATTGTGAAAGCACTTTTCTGGGAAGGGATAGACACGCGGGGAAGCGCGGCTGCTCTTTGTGGAAATTATGTTTTTGCAGGGGAAGTATGGTTGTTCAGAAAGATGTCAGCTGCAAGATCTGGGTCCGCTTTTGACATGCAGCACCAGAACATGTTGTTGTCCACTTGGGCGTTGGGCGCCACCCTTTCCCCTTGGACCGACGCCTCCAGGGTTTGAGAGTCAAGAGATACGCGGCTCGCGGCTCACGGTGATTTGCTTTAGAATTATTTTATATAGATTCAACGGACCGGAAATTCGATCCGCCGCGCAGGCCCATCAATATGAATAAACAAGCTCAGGCGATATCCCCAACAACATTGCGGTGCTCTTTTTAGTGCTCGCAACACCCTGCAGCCCTCGTGGAACGCTGGAGGAACACTGGTGGAACACTGGTGGAACCCTGGTGGAACCCTGGTGGAACCCTCGTGGAACCCTCGTGGAACCTTACCTCAGGGCCGCCCCGGACCGCCCCGGAGCCTATCTGGGCTAAGACCCCAAAGCTTTCAGCTGTTGGGGAAAAACATGTAAAATGGTCCGCTACCTCCTAGGATATGTTCACCGGAGCCGCAGGAAAAAGACTTCCTTCCTCCACCAAGTCAACAAAATGTGTTTCCCTGACCCATAATTGTTTTTCACATTTTGAAGGGGATGTGTTGGAGCAATCCAGGAAAAAAGAGGCCACCCTCTGCAAAACGAGGAGCGTTTGTGGGATCACTTCACACCCAACTCCAAAACAGGGAGCAACCACCAGTTATTTCCTTTGAACACCTCCAGCAAGGGAGCATCCAGACCGTTTCGTTGGCAGGTCCAACTTGCAGATCATCCTCAAGGAGTCTGGCAAGGGTGAGGCGGATCCGCTCATGAAAGGTCCATGAGAAGTGATCCACTTCCTCGAAATCGATAGGCGAAAGGAGGCTAAGTGCGATTTCACGCAGTTGTTCAGAGGCACCCTTTTTCACTTTCCGCTGGGTTTTCTACAGATGGTCCACCTACAGGGTTCCCTTTATCTACCAGGGTCAGCGGGCAATAGCCGAATTCGGGCATGCGGATCCCCGAGGCTTCGTTGGGCGTTGTTTCTTTTCGGCTCACAAATGGAATGCTCTCAGTGTCTCATTTGATATGGGTTCTGGAGCTATGGATGCGCAGATATGCCACAATATAAGCTGGTAAAGCATGATATACACCACTTATAAAAGTGGTGTATAGAACCTCCGTATCTCCCAAACCCCACACCTGGGAATGCCATTGAATTGAGTCTCCTAGGCTGCCCCACCTTGTTTCTTTGGGTTGCCCTTAGGTTTCGTCTTTGACCACAGTGGAAGATTGAGTTTTAGGCCCCTGTACTGTGATACCAAGGAAATATCCGCCAAAGCGATAAGGTAGTTATACGGATGGCCCTCTTGGGTATCCCAGAAAGGATTATGTCCCACAAGATCTTTTTTTTAACCTTTGAGCAGAAACTCAACGCGGATAAAGGCAGGTCAGTAGGGCGAAGACCCCCACCAAAAAAAAGTTGCAGCCGCTCTTTTTTGGTAGGCCATTCTTTCAGCAAATTCAACCACGACTCACCTTGGAGAAATGTGACCCTGTTTTTAGAAAGGGTCAATCTGGGTCAAGGACCGAACCGTCGTCCAGGATCTCGCCAGTTTCAACGAAGACTTAAGGAAAGGGTTGAGCCAGTGTGTAAAATGTATCTCCAATATGCGTCAAAAGGGGACCCCAAAAATTGTGGCTTTTCTTTAGGGTGCCCTATGTGACCAGGTACCCTCACACCAAATGTACTTGCCCAATCGAATCACTTCGTGTCCTTGGAGACACTCAGGAAAAGAGCCAACGCTTTTCAGCGCCTCAAGTGTCATTGGGAACAGATGCTCATGTCCCCGGCCGTTAGAAGGGGGCGGGCCTGTGTGTGTCGGGTCCTGTTCCTCGGTCTGGGGGACAAGCAAGGCCGCGCAAAGGCAACCGCACGTCTTGCAGGCCAACAAGCGTTGGTGAGGTGTTGCAGAAGGGACCAAGCGCTGGCAGAGACGTATGCTATTCTTGGAGCGCGCCTCGATTGCCCAGAACCTGTGGTGCACCCCCTTCGATTCAAGGTGTTATCCTGCTATGTTGTCGCTTCACTGCACAACTTACAGGTTTTGTGCATGTGTGTGTGTGTCCTTTGTTCAGGATGCCACTTTGGGTGTTTTTGAAAGAGACGCATAAAGCAAACCCATTCATTTTGTGCGTTATCCTATTTTAAGACAAACACATCA